TGCTGCGCGCTCCCGCCGCCGCCTGGCGCCTCCTCAGCGGCGGGGCCGCCCCGCCCGAGCCCCCCCGGGACGGGACCGCGGGGCCCTGCGCCGAGCTGGTACGTGAGGGACACCGGGGACCGGCGGCACTCGCTGCCCCGGAGCGCGGCGAACAGGTGTCACACCCAAAACCCCAAGCCAAACTTGGGGGTGTTTTTTCCGCTCCAAGGCGAAGTTAATGTTTAGCAGGTCGAGGCCATGTGCMTTGCGCAAACAGCAGACTGCTTCCAGGAACTTTGCATGCTTTCTGTCTGGTTTTACCTGGAAAATACTTGTGCTGATTAACTCTGTTATGTGCCTAGGTGAGCTTTGCATTCCTGCCCTGAAGTTTTTTCCTTGCTTGCTTTACAGTATGAAAACCCCTGGACCATCCCAAATATCCTGTCCATGGCGAGAATGGGTCTGGCACCAGTTTTGGGCTATTTGATCGTTGAAGAGAATTTCAACGTCGCACTTGGTGTCTTTGTCCTGGCTGGAGTGACAGACCTGGTATGTTTGCATGACTTTGGGGACAGCAGATCCCACGGGCATGCATTGAAACAGACTCCAGTGTAGAATGGAAATGGATTAAAGAGATTTGTTTTTTTTATTTGTGGATTCCTAGGAGTGCTGTGTATATCCTTTGTGGTATTGCAGAGGGAATTTGTAGATGCCTGAAGGGGACTTAATGCTAATGGAGGAAAGGGGAATGTCAGGATTCCCTGACCAGCCCCAGGTGGGCATTGGCCACTCTGTGCTTGTGTGTCTGGTGGTCTGTTATTATKATACAATTATCAGCTAAGAGCTAACTATAACTATTTTATCATAGTTATACTCACTGTTTATTCATTATTCATTAAATAACATGTTATTCATTAAATATCTCTGTAACAGTAGCGTACACRAGCTATTTTGGTTCATATTTTTCTAACAGAGAGCTATTGAATTTTGTTTTTCCTAGTTGGATGGGTTTATTGCACGGAACTGGGCTAATCAGAAATCAGCACTGGGCAGTGCTCTGGATCCCCTGGCAGATAAAATTCTCATCAGTGTGCTCTATGTGAGCCTAACTTGTGCAAATCTWATTCCAGGTGAGGAAATTCAGTTGTGTGTACTAGATAAGGTATAGAAGGTCAATTTACCTGTGGCAACATTCCTTGTGTTTCTAAAAGGAAAACTGTGTATCTTTTGGAACTCTTGCTTTGCCAGTTGCTCTTTGCTCCTATTAAAYACTTCCCAAGGGACCCCACAGAAAGCATGTGCTGCTACACACAAAAACTAACATGTAGTGCCACTTTCAAATGCACTTTCTTTAAAGCAATAATAGTAAGTAGCTATATAAAATCGTTTTTCATAGACTGGATTGTTTTAAGACCTCACCAAAAACCCTTTCAGGAGTCGTGTTGAACATCCTCAGTGATGCACAGACTTGTTCAGAAGAATTTGGGAGTGGTTGTTTTGTTTTGCTTCGTATTTTCTGCTCTTTTGGTTGTGTTTTGTTTGCAATCATGGACACAATTTTTCACTGGATGGTGTTGTCTTGATCTTGCAGTTCCACTGACTTCCATGATTATCCTGCGGGATGCRGCGCTCATCGCTGCTGTTTTTTATGTGCGATACAAAACTCTTTCTCCACCGGTGAGTGCACAGCATTAAAAACATTCTAATAAAACGTTATAATAAAAAATAAATTTTAGCAAAGTTGTGACCGAGAGATTTTTTGTCTTGAGACTTGATGGTGCTTGTTCTTTTAAAAGATAGATTTCTGAGCAGAGCAGCATTTCATAAAATATGTTTCRTAAAGAGAAGTCAGAGCTGATAACCTTTTTCCTGTGCATGGTGTGTAATAAATCTTACAAAAGAGCAGTGTAATTAGTGTAATTCCTAGTGCTACAGTTGACTTTTCTGTATCATGTGAAAGGTTATATCAAATTGAATGTACAAGGATTGCAGTTTTTTCCTCTTTTCYCTCCCAACAGAGAACACTGAGTAGGTATTTTAATCCCTGCTATGCTACTGCACAATTAAAACCGACATTCATTAGCAAGGTAAGAGCAGTAAATTGTTACAAAAATAACTCCTSGGTACTTGGGGTGTTTTGTGGTTTGGAGGGTGGGGGTAATTTACTACTTCTGCTGAGTTTCAAAGTAGTGCCAACAATTTGGAGACAAGTTCCACAGATCCTGAGAGATGTTCAAGTGTGCTCTGTCAAAGCAGCTGATAATTTTGAGAGTGTAAGATGCTTCATTAAAAGATGTTTCTAAATAAATTTTCTTTACTTAGACTAATCTTTAAACCAGTAATAAAAGTGTATCTTGGTATTCCTTCTACAGTACTTCCTCAYGTTGCTCACAATTCCTATCTTGCTTTTTTCAGATGAATACAGCAGTTCAGCTAATTTTGGTGGCAGCTTCTTTAGCAGCTCCTGTTTTCAATTATGTGGACAGCATATATCTGCAGACATTATGGTAACTGATCTCGTAATTTTTTTTTTCCAGATAATTTAATGTGCTCCTAAAAAAACTGGTAATTGAGATTAATTGGTGTGGAACAAAATGAACTGTACACAGGCAATACATAAATTCAGATCAATAGAGAAGAAAGGAGCAGGAAGGAAGGCTGTAAGGATTCTTCTTTCAGAACAAAGAGTTCTGAACAGCAAATGCCAGAATTACTTAGTACCTTAGTTTAAAGTAGTGCAAAATCCACTGTTAATCATCTTCTAGGGAAGAAAAACCCCAAGCAAACCAAATTAACCAAAACCACAAACCCAAACCAAAAAGTGTTTAAGGAACTATGAATGAACTTTGATCTTAACAGTCTGTGGTTTTTCCTCCTGGTGRTAAAACAGATCTAGAGTTGCATCTGTGAAAGCTGCTTACCTTGTTGGGACTCCTCAGAGTTCCCATGTTGTGAGTAATGGAGGAATATTGGGTGTRATCTGCCAGGGAGCTCTGAACAGTCTCAGAAATGCCCTGAATGTGGCAGAATGCTCAGGGAGGACCGTGGGGAGCAGAGGGGCACAGCCCATTCAGGAAAATCTATGGTCTGGGAAGGAAATAAAAGAGACAGAAGCAGGAACTTGTTCTTTAGCTTTGGAACTTGCTAAAAATGGTAAATTCTAGTTTTGAGTGGTTTGAATGCTCCCTGTTGATGCTACCAAGGAATAGTTTGTCAAATCAGTCAGTTCTCAAGCTGGTATAAGTTATGTAGGCTGCAAATGCTGAATCTTTGTTTTCCCTTCTCTAAAACAAGTGCTAGCATGGTAAGAATTTGCCCTACTATGCAGTTACACTGCAACATGCTGCTTACCACAGGAYGGCAGATCTATTGTTTATCTAATCCTCCCCTTAGCTCTGAATTTCAGCGTATAAACTGTAAACTGCATTTTTGTGGAGCACAGTTCTTGACTGTGTATTAAAAAACAGGGAAGATGCTAAAAAAAACCCACTTTTGATATTGTCCATAGACCCACATGACTTACCAGGAACTCTTTTCCCCAAAGGTGCATCACAGCTTTCACAACGGTGACATCTGCCTACAGCTATTACCACTACGGCAGAAAAACTGTCCAGGTGATCAAGAACAAATGAAGTGGTCCAGGTGATAAAAAATGAAGTGTTCCTGGAAGGGCAGGAAGGTGCTGTTCYCCCAAGGGTGGTGGTATTGCAGCTGAGTTTTGGATCAAAGTACTCTTTTTTTTCTCTGCTTAAACCATGGCATCACAATGAAGTGAAATTTGAATATGTACTGTGTATATATGTAGAGAGAGACTTTTCAATGTATTTTTAATTTCTTTAAAAATGAGGTTGTTTACAAAAACAAATAAATAACATTCTTAAAAACACGGTGCCATTTGCATTCTGAGTAATTTTATATTGTTTTTGAAATCAAAACACACACTTGGCACCAGATTTGTTTTGCCATATTCATGCCAGGCACTGAGTATGCTGAGTTCTGAGGAGAAAAAGCAATTACAAGAACAAATTTGTCTTTGTACCTCAACCTAAGTCAACAAACCAGCATTTWAAAATTAATTTTTAATTTAATTTTAAGTTAAATCCATTAGGATTTAAAGACATACCTGAGGTTTCAGCAGAAGAAAGCACATTATTGAGAGACAGAAATTTAAACCAGAGAGAAATTTTACTTTATATTTCATGGGTGATATGGATAAGGCATTTACTGTTCCTACCCTGCTCCCTTTTCTTTTAAAATATGAGCAATGGTGAACTGTGCCCAAATAGAGTTAAAGTTTCTCATGCTATATATTCGTATCTCCAGATTCTTTAAACTTGAGAAGATGCTGTTTAATCCAAATACCCCTGACTAAAGAGGACATTTAAAATATTGTCCAAATGAATGGATACAGTGGAAATAACTTAGATTCATGTACTGTTAATTCTTCCYGTAGTTCTATCTTCAAGAGGTGCTCTGTTGTCCTCCCTCATGTGAGGACAATTTGTTCTTTGCCTGTTCTATACCTAAAAAACAGAAGAAAGAACAAGACAGAACAGGTCAAGTTGATCATAAACTCATGTTTTCCTTTTCTGACAATTTTTCTGACTAWTTTTCTTCCATATCATTAAAAAGAGTGCAACTATGAAGGCTTTAAATGTTTGAAATCAGGAGGTAAATWATACCACTGTAGTATTAGAGAAAGGAAACTTTCTGTAGACACTTCTTTTGAGAGCACACCGTCTCTTTTGTGACAGTATATGTTTGTGTATACAAACACTTTTAATGTATTTTTTAATATTTAAATGTATAAAATTGTGTATGGAGAAAACACTTGATCTTTCTTAGTGCCTCATGTTTTGTGCTCAACCCTGCGTCTTTCAGCAAAGGATAGAGGGCAAAGCCTGTGGAATTTTCCTTAAAATACATGAGTGGTGAAATGGAGAAAAAGCAGAATTTTTTTTGTACTCAGTGCGGTAATTGCTGTTTGGTTCTGGTCAATATAACTGGGCTTTGTTGGGGGAGGTATTCTTTAACTTTCTCAATCAAACACCCCTCACCGACTGCATGAAATCAGCGGGGACTGTTCAGCGGGTTCCAAGTTAAACCAGATTTGGTTCAATAAAATGCGTGAGGCTTCTGGAGTGCGGGGCTGGGTGGGCACAGCCCGTTCACCGGGAATGCGATCCCGCTCGTTCCTGTGGAAGGCTCCGGTGCGGTGTTGGGTGGGCACAGCCCGTTCATCGGGAATGCGATCCCGCTCGTCCCCGGGGAAGGCTCCGGTGCGGTGTTCGGTGGGCACAGCCCGTTCATCGGGAATGCGATCCCGCTCGT